ACGCCTGCTCATCCTACACTGCCCTACCAGCCTCCCTTGCGCGGCCTTTTTCGCTGCCCTGTATCCGGTCAGCGCCATGGGGTTTGGCTTCCTGCTGCTGGCAGTGCTGGGGTGCCTGAGGCTGAAGGCTATGAGGGGGACGCCTAGGGCGCTGTTCTTGTATGGAGGGGTGGCGCTGGTGATGGAGTTTGGGTTCCAGGTGGTGGTGACGCAGTGGGGCTTGGAGGCTTGGGTGGAGCAACACAGTGCGATTCTCCAGGTGAGTTGTGATTGTGGGGTTCAGGTTTTAAGGCTCAGAGGGTTTAAGGTTGAGCGTTTTGGTTTGGATTTTGGCTTTCAGACGGTGGTAATGTAGTAAGGATTGACACCATGGGTGGAACAACAAAGTGAGACTCTTCAGGTGAGTGGCCGAGAAGGGGGGGTTCAGGGTATAGGGCCCAGGGTTTAGGTTAAGGGGTTTGGAGCTTGGCTTTCAGGCGGCGGTTATGTAGTGAGGATTGACGCCATGGGTGGATCAACAAAGCGCGACTCTTCTGGTGAGTGGCCGAGATTGTGGGAGTTCATGGTTTGGGACTCAGGGTTTAGGTAAAGGGGTTTGGAGCTTGGCATCCAGGTGGCAGCTACACAGTGAGGGTTGGCAGCATGGGTGGAACAACAAAGTGCGACTCTTCTGGTGAGGGACAGTGATCTTTGGTTGAGGCTTTTGGGTTGAGGGTTTAGCGAGATCAGGGTTCCGGGTCAAGGTTAAGGGAGATCAGGGTTCCGGATTCCAGGGTGAGAGCTTCAGGCTCTGCATTTAGGGTTTGGGATTCTGAGTGTAGGGTTTAGAGTTCTGTCTTGAACCTTCTGTCTTATTCCTCCCACCGCCATGTCTCTGCTCCTCTTTCTCAGTGGCTATGCCTTGGCTTATAAGGAGACGGCACCATGGGCACTGCGATACGGGTTTGGGGTTCTGAGTGTAGGCTTTAGAGTTCTGACTTGACCCTCTCTGTCCTGTCCCTCCCTCCCGCATGTCTCTGCTCCTCTTTTTCAGTGGTTAGGACTGGTTTATATAGAGACGGCACCATGGCCACTGTGTTTAGGGTTTGGGTTCGAAGTGTAGGCTTTAGAGTTCTGTCTTGAACCATTCTGTCCTATCCCTCCCACTTCCATGTCTCTGCTCCTCTTTCTCAGTGGCTAGGCCTAGGCTTATATGGAGACGGCACCATGGGCACTTCAGCAGCGGGCCCTATGTGGGCTTTAACGTCTGGATGCACGGCCAAAGCAGTGCTCCTAGCAGCCTGTCTTCTCCACCATGCCTCCTGCCACTGGCTCACCGAACTTCCCTTGGAGCTTCAGACCGATCCTAAGGGCGAGGTTTGCGTGCTGTTTGTGCCTCCTGAAGCTGTGGCTGCGGCTCGGAACGCTGCTTCGGTGCAGATACAGGAGATGGTGCAGAGAGGGGGAGAGGAGGGACGAAGAGAGAGAGGAGCGGGTGGAGTGGGTGGAGTGGGTGGTGTAGGCGGGGCAGGAGGAATAGGGGAAGGAGGAGGAGGGGGGCCAGGGAACGGTAAGGTTGCAGAAGAAGTGGCTAAGACAGAACCTCAAGAGTCGGTGTTGAAATTGGATGAGGTTGCTTCGATTGGCAGGGAGGGCGGAGGAGGCGACGGGGGAAATGAGAAGATGGGGAGGGGCATAAGTGGGGGAGGAGGAGCAGGGGGGACTAGAAGAGCCCACAAGCTGATAAGCTTTCGGTCGTGGAGTGTGGGCGATCTGCGGTCTGCTGATGCGTCCTCCTCAGCCTCCTCCTCCTCTTTCCTTCTTGGAGGGTCGGGGAGGCGAGAGGGGAAGGTGACTGGTGGTGGTAAACCATTGGAACGGCATGACGAGGACCAGGAGAAGGAGGAGGAAACAGTGCAAACCGACAGGGACTCTCATGTGAATGCGAGCTATGAGGGTGATTCAGTGTTTGGTGATGATTACTATGACGGGTATGATGACGAGGAGGAGGACGACGACGAGGAGGACGAGGAGGACCAATCAGAGGAGGCGCAGCGGTATCGGCAGCAGCTGCGGTCGATGTGGTCGTGGGTGCAGAACACAGTGGCCCACTTCTTCTCCCTCTATGGCGTTCAGGTGAGTGATTTGGGAGGGCGTGTGGCAATGTACAGAGGAATACAGGAGGATCGTTGTGGGGCGGTGCCTGCGGTCGATGTGGTCGTGGGTGCAGAACACAGTGGCCCACTTCTTCTCACTCTACGGCGTCCAAGTGGGTGTCGTCGGCCTCTGTCTGCCCTTTCACTCTCAACTCACAGATCGCCCGCCCTACACTCCTTTCTTCGCACTTTGCGGGGCCTCTCCCGCTCTTCTTTCAGGTGGTCGTTCTCTGTCTTCTATTCGCTGGTTTCGCCGTGAAGAACATCGTCTCTCTCCTCTACACTCTAGTCGTCGGCCTCTGCATCGCCCTCCCTCCGTGCCTCAATGCATGATACTGCCCGCCATCCCAACCCATCCCAACCCATTTCATCCCCTTTCATCCCCCCTCCCATTCCCATCAGGTGGTCGTTCTGTGCCTTCTAGTCGCCAGTTTCGCCGTGAAGAACATCGTCTCTCTCCTCTACACTCTAGTCGTCGGCCTCTGCATCGCCCTCCCTTCACGCTTCGTCCGCCTGCTCTGGCCCCTCCTAGTAGCTACCTTCGCTGCAATCACCCTCTGGCAATACTACATGCTCGCCGGCCCCCCTCCCTTGGACAACCCTGCACCCCCTCCCCCCAACAATCCCGCACCTCCCCTCCGAAATTCTCAAGGATTCAACCGCTTCGTGTATACCAGTCACTACGCACCAAAGTCTCCACCACACCAGCCGTTAGAGGAGTTTCCACCTCTGCTGCATCCCCAGCACCCCCACCAGCCATCCAAGCACCCCTTCTTCCAACGCGACAATTCAGAGGGGCCCTATGAGGCCGTTGCCTCAGCGACCCAACTCATTAGAGGCCCTTCAAGGGAATTACATTCCCCTCTAGGCACCAAACGCTCTCTCCTTGGCGTTGACTCGGACTCACCACTACAAGAATATCCATCCGGGCCCGGGGCCGGGCATCTACTAGAGTATCCCCGTAGCAGTCGCCCAGAATCTCTCAATCTCAACCCACTGCGAGCCTATCTCCTAGGGTATCCCCATAACAGCCTCAGTCGCGAATCTCCTGGTTTGTCGCTTTACAAGACGAGCGGATTGTCCCACAGTTTGTTCAGGGGATCTCGCCGCCCCCACCCGCCCAAGTCCCACAGCCGCAACTGCCAGGACTGCTGGCTCAGCACGGATTCCCGTGACTCCACGTGCTGGGACTGCTGGCTGGGTGAGTTGACTGCTGGCTAAGTGAGTTGACTGCTGGCTGGGTGAGTTGACTGCTGGCTAAGTGAGTTGACTGCTGGCTGGGTGAGTTGACTGCTGGCTGGGTGAGTTGACTGCTGGCTACCAGCCACGACACGCCTCTTCCAGCATTGACTGACAATGTCTCTTGCTCTCCATCCCTCCTCTATCATCCCCTGTGTTTCCCCTCTCGCCTTTCCAGGTGGCATCGTGGACGACCGCCGCATCCTCTGTGCCTACTTTGTGGTCTTCCTCCTCTCCTGCTTCCTCCTCTCTCCTTCCTCCTCCTCCGCCCCCTCCTCCTCTTCCTCCTCCCAAATAAACCCGTCCTTCCCACATGATACAGCACCGCACCTCACCCGCTGGACCTCCCTCCCCCCGCCATCCCTCCCGCCTCTCGAAACCCCCCGCCCCCATCCCCTCCCCAACGCCCGCCCTCCCTTCCCCCCTCCTCCTTTCCTCTCCTCCTCCTCCTCCTACCTCCCCGCAGACCCGCCCTCCTCCCCTTGGCACGACCTGTCAGAAGGCCCCCACCCCAGTTGGACCTGGCTGGACCACTGGCGCTTCCTCTACTACAAGTACCTCCTATGGATTGTCCTGATACTAGTCTTTGCGACCGGGACTCTACAGTACGACCTGCTACACTGCGGCTATCTCGCCTTATCCCTCTTAAGTACACGAAAGCACGCCGCGATTCTCCGCGGGCAAACCACAGTGCTCACCTACCTCCGCGTTTATAACTTTCTGCTGATCACCGCGTCCCTAGTCTACCAGTGCCCGTATTTCCCGTATCTCCCAGCACTGTCGTGTAACCCGTTCAGCATAGTGGGGCTGTATAAGTACGACTACGGGCTCCGGATGGACACGCGCAGTGCGGTGGTGGACCTAACCATGTTCGTGCTCATCACAGTTCTGGCGTACAGCCTGAGATCCGAGATCTTCCAACAAGTTCTCATGTTTACTACGAAGCAGGAGGTAAGACAATTGCAACCCGTTCAGGATAGTGCGGCTGTGTAAGCACGACTATGGGCTCCGGGTAATGGATGGACATGCGGAGTGCGGTGGTGGACCTGACCATGTTCGTGCTTATCACCGTGCTGGCATGCAGCCTGACGTCCGAGATCTTCCAGCAAGTGTTGCTCTTTACCACGAAGCAGGAGGTGCGACAACGGACAAAGGGATATGGAAGGGGGGGTAAGGGGGAAGGATGGACATGCGGAGTCCATCTCTGTTTGTGATGGGCATGCGGAGTCCATCTCTGTTTGTGATGGGCATGCGGAGTCCATCTCTGTTTGTGATGTGCATGCGGGGGTAAGGAGGAAAGGTGGCTGATCTGATTGTGTTTCACAGCCTCATCACTGCGTTGGTTTGGCTCACAGCCTGAAATCACGAATCGCGACGTGAGACGGCAAGTGCTCATTTTGACCGCGAAGCAGGAGGTGAGGCGGCAGAAAAGGGGGAGGGGGGGCACCTGAGGGAGGTGCAGCGGATGAAAGACAGCATGCGGCGCCTGCAGAGACACCTGGACTGGATGGACCCCTTGCACTCCAATTCACCTCAGAAGAGCATGACTGAAACCAGATCATCTGCTGCCGCCCCCCCGCTCCCTTCCCCTTCCTGCTCCCCCTGCCCCACTCCCTTCCAAACCTACAGGAGAGAGACAGGCAGCGAGCGGCCGAGATGTTAGCAGCGTGGCAGCGGGAGCACCTGAAGCACCTGCAGCAGGCGGAGGAGCGGCGCAGGCAGCGCAGCGAGGAGGTGCAGCGCATGAAAGACGGCATGCGCCGCCTGCAGCGACACCTCGACCTCCTCAACTCTGGCAGTCCAGGGGGGAGGCGAGGGGGTGGAGAGGGGTTGGCGAGTCCAGGGGTGTTTAGACAGGCGCAGCAGCACCAGCAGCAGCTGCTGCAGCTGATGCTGGCAGGAGGGAGAGTGAGGGGAGGAGGGGCAGTGGGAGGAGAGGGAGGTGGAGGAGGAGGAGGAGGTGGAGGTGGAGGGGGGTGGGTAGGAGCTGGGGGGAGAGGGGAGGTGGAGGGGGCTGGATGGCTGGTAGATCGGGCTTTAGCTCCCCTTCCACCTGCACCATCTGCTGCTGCAGCTGCTGCTACGACTTTTGCTGCTGCTGCTGCTGCTGCCCATAATACAGACCATCTTCCTCAGTCAGACACAGCAGGTCAACTCCCCCCCACCTCCCTCCTCCCTCCCCCGGCACTCCCCCCCCCCAACCCACACACTCAAGCACTTTCTCCACTCCTTCCTCCTCCCCACACCCTCATACCCAACCCCTCCCCTCCTACGCCTCCTCCTCCCACTCTCTCCCTCCTTCCTCCTCCCCCTTTTTCCCTCCCCCGCTCTACCCCCCTTCCACCACTGCCTCCCCAGCTGTACCTCCCCCGGCTGGCCCTTCCCCCATGTTTCCAGGGTTTTCTGACTCTTCCCCCATGCTCCCCTCTGCGTCTACTGGTCCCTCGTTCAATACGGTTATGGGAAGAGCTCGGGCTGCGGCTTTGAGGGCACAGGCCAGCCGGGCAGGGGAGGTATGGAGGGGAGGAGTGGAAGGAGGAGTTGAGGGGGCATCAGCAGCTCATTCACTTTCCTCAACCCATACTGCATTGGAACCACCGACAACATCAGTACCACCGTTAGCAATAGCAATACCATCAGCATCAGCAGCAGCAGCAACCGCAGCAGCAGGACCAGTGAGGGAATTGCGTTCTCGTGCGTCTTCCCTCTCCTCCCCTCCCTCTTCTTCTCCTAGCACCACCGCCACCCACCCTCCCAGCACTGCCAGCACCAGTGCTGCTAACAGCCTATGGAAGCGGGCGGCAGGGGGCCTTGTCGGGCGGCGAAGTGGGCGGCTGATTCCGACTGGTATGCAGCAGATGATTGGCCAGGGGGTGGCTCAGATGCAATCGATGGTCATAGCTGGGTTAGAGGATATACTAGATATGGATTTGGACGGAGGAGGGGAGATTGGTGATGCAGGGTTGAGTGCGGTGGGAAGCAGTGGGGGTGGTGGGCCGAGTAGGCTGGATTTGAGTGCGGTGGAGAGCGGTGGGGCGAACGTGGCGGGTGTAGGGAGTGGTGGGATCAGCAGTGCTGATGGTCTTGGTGCCTTGGGAGGGGGTGGTGTGGGTATGGAAGAAGGGAGTGTGAGTGCGAGGACAGGCAGGCAACGCAGCAGTAGCTGTCAGTGGCCCGAGGGGTCTCACCTCATGGTGGGTGATTCTCAGAGGCTAGAGGGATCTCATAGGCTAGAGGGGTCTCAGAGGATAGAGGGATCTCAGAGCTACAGGCAGACTAGGTTGAGCAGAGGATCAGGCAGCGATGCTGCTGCTGCTGCTGGGTTAAGCATAGACACGATAGAGGAAGCCAAGGAGGAAGGCAGATTGGACGTGGACCAGTCAGGCTCTGAGATGACGTGGACAGATCCCAGATCCGAGTATGGCAGCCCGGCACGCCACGTCAGCGATGAGGTGGATGTGTCAGCAGTCGCCGATGCTTTGCCAGCTGTACAGGAAGTAGCGTTTAGCCAATCAGGTGCTGGCTGTGTTCGGAGAGACGGCATGGTGGAGGAGGGAGGAGCAGTTGGGGTTGGGGAGATTGAGGAGGAGAGGGACGGAGGTATGACTGGCGATGGGGTTGGGGGTCAGGGAGTGGCATTTGGTGGAGGAACTAGCTGGGGAGGGGGCAGAGAGGGTCGAGGGGAGGAGGGCTTGAGTGCGTCTGAGGCTGCTGCTGCTGCCATAGCAGCGGGAGGAGGGCTGCAAGGAGCAGCAGCCGCGGCTGCAGCTGCTGTTTTAAGTAGGCATGGGCAGAGGGGAACAGCAGGAGAGGGAGACTGGTCCGGCGGAAAAGAGGGGGGAAGAAGAGCAGGAGGACGGAGACTGGGCGAAGGAATGGGAGAAGGGATGAGAAAAGGGATGAGAGAAGCAACAGGTGGAACACATGCAGAAGGCCCTGCCATTGGTAACACCGTAACCAACGCCACCACCACCACCTCCACCCCCTTCCCCTCCGCCTCCTCCCCCCCCTCCCCATCCCGCCGTGCCTTCTCCCGCCTGCGCTGGCTGCTCCAGTCAAACAGCGACGTGGTAACCGGCGTCTTCATGGTTACCGCCTTCTGCTGGAACCTCTCTCTCTCCACGCTCGTCTTCCCCCTCGCCCTCTTCCTGTACGCCCTCGTCTCCAACCCCTCCCCCGGGCCGAGATTCTGGCGGGCTATGCTCGTGTACTCCGAGATTCTGATTGCCTTGGAGTATCTGTATCAGATCCCGACGCATGACAGCTGTGCCAGCTGGATTGAGGGGAATGGGGCGGGGGGGAGTGGGGGAAAGGGAGGGGGAGGGGGAGGTCGGGGGCCGGCAACAGGGGGAGGTGCTGTCCCCCCTAGTGGAAGAGGAGGAGGGAGCGGGGGAGGGAAAGGAGGGGCGGGGGGGCTTCCTTCAGGGTGGTTTCCAGGGTGGATTGGTGCTGGTGGTGGTGCAGAGGGGATGGACCGCCTACTTGCATTTATAGGCATCCGACCGTACCCTAGCTGGTTTGTGTGGAACGTGCTTCCTCTCTTTGCTGTCTACCTAGCCCTGCTGGTCCAAACCTCCATCCGCTACAGGAACAGCCAGTCCAAGGACTCGAGGGACTCTAAGAAACTTGCTGAACCTGAGGAGGAGGTCAGGTTCGGAAGCTTCCAAGCCTCGGGTGGTGGTTCAGGCCAAGCCGGATGTGAGGGGGGTGGAAGAGACAGGGGAGAGGGCAGGGGTAGGGAGGCGAGGGGGGCCTGTGCTGAGGAAGGTGGTTTCTGGGGCGGGTTGAAGGGAACTGCGAGGGTGCTTGGTAGACTGGTAGGGGCCAGCCAAGCTGTTCATGTTCATGCTTATGTGGACGATGCTGCTGACATGGATGATGCTGACGTGGAGGCGTCTTCTCCTCTGCTTAGTGGCAATCGTGCGTCCACCTTCCCTCAGACAGCTGGCAATCGCAGCAGCAGCAGCAGTTTTCTACAGAGCAGGTGGAGGAGCAGTAGCAGCAGGAGGAGGGGTGGAGCAGCCCAACAATACAGCAGCAGCAGGAGCGGCAGCGGCAGCGGCAGCAGGAGCGGCGTTGCTGATTCACCTCCACCCCAGCCGCTGTCCTTTTTTAAGCGCTTATGGATTCGGGGGTCATGTAGATTCACTGCAGCTTGGAGGGGATTAATTAGGTTCTTAAGAGCTGCTATGGAGGGGTCGGAAGCGCCGCCCTACTTTGTCCAGGTGGTTCTGTACAACGCGGATGGGTGGACGGCCAATCAGATGATGCCAGGTGTCATTGAGAGAGCGTTCAACTACTTGTTGGTGGCTGCGGATGATGTCGCAGTGCCTGCTGACGTGGCTGTGCCTGCTGATGTGGCAGGTGCCGGACCTGCACAGGGAGGAAGAGTAGGAGGGGTCAACACGGCGACCCGCTTGTTTGGGAATTCCAGAAAGCATGTGCATTTTGAGCCGGAAGGAGCAGCGGTGATGCATGCAGAGAGGTATTCCAGGCAAGGTGTTGAGCAGCAGCAGCAGCAGTTTCAACATGAGACTCAGCATCGGGCTCAGAAGCAACAGCTAGAGCAGCAGGCGCTTGCTTTGCTTCCGTGCGAGTACCAGCAGTTAGTGCGGGTGCACAGTGTAGACGCTGTAGAGTGTGCCAACACCCTTACTGCTTCCGGTGCTGCCCATAGCGTGGCCAGCCCTTCAGCTGCCCATAACAGAGCCGCCACTGGAGCCACAGCCACGCTTGAAACCCCAGCAGCAAGTGCAGCAGATACAGCCACAGCCACAGCAGCAGCAGCAGCAATTCCGCAGGGGGCTGCACATCCTGCTGCTGCCTTTTCTCCAACCGCTGCTGCTGCCGATGAAAGCACTCACTATTCCTCGCTCCCTCACTTTCATCCTCACTCACAGCTCCCTGTTACAGACACTCTGGTAGTGGTGCTTGAGGTGGTAACCAACACCACTGCCGCTGCCTCTGCCTCCCCTCCTACCTCCTCTGATACCCCCTCCGACTCCCCAGCTTCTCAATGCACCCCCTCTCAGCCACACACGTGGCATGACACCTGGCAGTCGCTCACACCATCTGCTGACGTGGCAAAGAGGCTCGGGAGGTTCCTGAGCGGTGGGGGGAGGCCCGGGAGTGGGGGAGGGGGAGGGGTAGCAGGAGGAGAGGAGGGCAGGGGGGGGGTGTTGAGAGGAGTGGGTGGTGTGGCTGGGGGGGGGGATGGGGTAAGGGATGGGGGTGGGCTTGGGGGCGTGGCAGGCAGCAGTAATAGAAGGAGTGAAGGTGCTAATGCCATCTTGGGAAAGGCGTTTGGGTCTCGCTATGTGGAGCTCGCCTCAATTGTTGCAGGTACAGTGTGCTCCTGTCTTGCTCACCTTCCCACTAATTTGCTGCCTTTCCCATCATGTCGCCCCACCATGTCTCCTTAGAAAAGCAATCTCCATTTTTTTGCATTTTCTTCTCCCCAGGCGGTCGGGAGGAGCGGGACCTGTACATCTACATCTTCTGCAACGACATCCTCACTTTTTTCTACATGGGGCTCTCCATATATCTTTCTCTCGCGGGTCCTCTGCACATGCTATATGCAACCTCCTCTGTACATTCTCAACCTAACAGGTGGTCGCAGGGAGCTGGACCTCTACCCCTACGTCTTCTGCATCGACATCCTCGCCTTCTTCTACGTGGGGCTCTTCTACCAGTCTGCAGTGCGCGACAGGTCGCCCTTTGAGGAGGTCATTCACACAGGCGACCAGTTCCCCTACACCTATGTGGCCGTGCTCATGGTACGTTTGAGGAGGGTACTAGTACTGCCCCCTTTCCCCTGCACTATTGTCCTATGTGGGCCGGTGCGTATGGTAAGGTTTGCTATGTGTTGGAATGTGTGGCACTCTGGACTGGAGTCTGCAGTGCACGACAGGTCGCCCTTTGAGGAGGTCGTCCACACGGGCGACCAGTTCCCCTACACCTACGTGGCCGTGCTCATGGCATGTGTTGAGATGTATAGCCCCTCCATGTGGCCGGGCTCATGGTATGTGTTGAGATGTATAGCCCCTCCATGTGGCCGTGCTCATGGTATGTGTTGAGATGTATAGCCCCTCCATGTGGCCGTGCTCATGGTATGTGTTGAGATGTATAGCCCCTCCATGTGGCCGGGCTCATGGCATGTGTTGAGATGTATAGCCCCTCCATGTGGCCGTGCTCGTGGTATGTGTTGAGATGTATAGCCCCTCCATGTGGCCGTGCTCGTGGTATGTGTTGAGATGTATAGCCCCTCCATGTGGCCGTGCTCATGGTATGTGTTGAGATGTATAGCCCCTCCATGTGGCCGTGCTCATGGTATGTGTTGAGATGTATAGCCCCTCCATGTGGCCGTGCTCATGGTATGTGTTGAGATGTATAGCCCCTCCATGTGGCCGGGCTCATGGCATGTGTTGAGATGTATAGCCCCTCCATGTGGCCGTGCTCGTGGTATGTGTTGAGATGTATAGCCCCTCCATGTGGCCGTGCTCGTGGTATGTGTTGAGATGTATAGCCCCTCCATGTGGCCGTGCTCATGGTATGTGTTGAGATGTATAGCCCCTCCATGTGGCCGGGCTCATGGTATGTGTTGAGATGTATAGCCCCTCCATGTGGCCGGGCTCATGGTAAGGCGCGGAGAGATCCCCCATACCTGTGCTCAAGAGAAAGGTCATGGTACGTTCCCCCATACCTGTGCTCAAGAGAACGGTCATGGTACGTTCCCCCATACCTGTGCTCAAGAGAACGGTCATGGTACGTTCCCCCATACCTGTGCTCAAGAGAACGGTCTAAGGGATGGCAGGATAGCATCGCCTGCCCCTTCTAGTCCCTTGTACTTGATGGTCTTGTTTGAACACCATCACAACCAAGCAACAATTCCAAGACCGCCCCAAAATCTTCCTCACGAGAGCGCCACGCTTAACCCCGATCCTCAGTCTTCCAACACCTCAATTCCTCCTCATATCCACCTGGTATTTTTGAGAATCCTCAAAAATACCCTGCAACCTCATTTTCCTCCTCCTCAATATCCTCCTGGCCCGATCATCGAGCTCGTCTTTCAAGGTCAATGGATGTCTAGTTTTGAGGCGCCTCAAAAGTACGTCAACTAAGTCCATCCCTCCTCAACCCCCAATCCCCATTATAGACAGACCCAGTTCTTCCTGATAGTGATAAACCGCATTCTCTACCTGGTGTCCAGCGGCCCCCTGCGCATGCTCTACCACTTGTGCAGCCTTTCATTACCCCCCTTCCCCTCCCCCCCACACCTAATCCCCGTTATAAACAGACCCAGTTTTTCCTGATAGTGATCAACCGGATTCTCTACCTGGTGTTCAGCGGCCCCCTGCGCGTGCTCTACCACCTGGCCTCCCTCCTCCTACACCTCGGCTACCCCATGCTGCTCTTCTGGAACGCCAACCTCATCGCCTCGCACAACACCATCCGGGCCTACCTGGCGATCAAATCCATCTCCCTCGCGCTCTCAGCGCTCCAGCTGAAGTACGGGCCGCCTGGGCCGGCGTCGAAGGCCTCGCCGTTCCTGACCCGGAGGGCGACGTGGCTGCGGTGGCAGCTGTTTAGAGTGTATCGCATGCTGCCGTTCTTGTACGAGCTGCACTTGATTCTGGACTGGTGGTGCACCAAGACATCCCTGCCTCTATACGATTGGCTCAAGGTATGCTGCTAGCCTCACTGTTTTGTCACTGACAGCGTTTCGGGCTGGGGTGAGAAAGACCAATCTGCGGTGGCAGCTGTTTAGAGTGTATCGCATGCTGCTGTTTCTGCACGAGCTGCATGTGATTCTGGACTGGTGGTGCACCAAGACATCCCTGCCTCTGTATGACTGGCTCAAGGTATGCTGCTTGAGTCAGGGTTGGTGATAGGGTTGGTGTTACAGCTAGCTAAGATGTGGCTGCAGTGGCAGCTGTTTAGAGTGTATCGCATGCTGCCGTTTCCGTACGAGCTTCATGTGATTCTGGACCGGTGGTGCACCAAGACATCGTTACCACTGTATGATTGGCTCAAGGTACGCTGATATGTTCAAGGTACGCTGATATGTTCAAGGTACGCTGATATGTTCAAGGTATGCTGATATGTTCGAGGTACGCTGATATGTTCAAGGTACGCTGATATGTTCAAGGTACGCTGATATGTTCAAGGTACGCTGATATGTTCAAGGTACGCTGATATGTTCAAGGTACGCTGATATGTTCAAGGTACGCTGATATGTTCAAGGTACGCTGATATGTTCAAGGTACGCTGATATGTTCAAGGTACGCTGATATGTTCAAGGTACGCTGATATGTTCAAGGTATGCGGCTGTGACGCCAGCCTGTACCTCGTCACATGGGACAGCAAGATAGCCTGTGCAGCACTCAGAGTGCTCACCCTTCCACCATCCTCCCTCTCTCATGCCTCTGAATGCCGTTTGCCCAACCCTGTCAGCTCGAGGACATATACGCTGGCCTGTACCTCGTGACGTGTGGCAGGAAGATAGCGCGAGCAGGGCACCGGCCGAGCCGCCGAGGCATAGTACACCTGCTCCCCTCTCCCTATCCTTCCCCCTCCAACCAGTTGGAGGACATCTACGCCAGCCTGTGCCTCGTGACGTGTGGCAGGAAGATAGCGCGAGCAGGGCACCGGCCGAGTCGCCGGGGCATAATACACCTGCTCTCCTCTCCCTATCCTCCCCCCTCCAACCAGATGGAGGAAATATACGCCAGCCTGTACCTCGTTACCTGTGACAGGAAGATGGCGCGAGCAGGGCACCGGCCGGGACACACATTCCAGCCCTCCCCCTACCTGCATCTCCTCTGCCCCTCCCAACCCTGTCAGCTGGAGGACATCTACGCCAGCCTGTACCTCGTGACGTGTGGCAGGAAGATAGCGCGAGCAGGGCACCGGCCGAGCCACCGAGGCATAATACACCTGCTCTCCTCTCCCTATCCTCCCCCCTCCAACCAGATGGAGGACATATACGCCAGCCTGTACCTCGTGACGTGTGACAGGAAGATAGCGCGAGCAGGGCACCGGCCGGGGCAGCCGCAGGGGTGGGTGGTGAAGCTGATGGGGGGAGCCTTCTTCTTCCTCGCTATAGTCACAGCCATCTGGGCGCCCATGCTGGTGAGTTCTGGTACGGTCTGGTCACTTAGCAATTTGATAATAGGTGTCACAGTCACAGTCAGAGTCAGAGTCACAGTCACAGTTACAGTCACAGTTTATGTTGCTTCTTCCGCGTCTTCCTCCCTCATCCTTCCCTCCCCCCCTCCGCATCCTCACCCCTCAGACCTGCTCCGGCTCCTTCCCCATCTTTGAGGCGCCTCAAAAATCCTCAGACCTGCTCCGGCTCCTTCCCCATCTTTGAGGCGCCTCAAAAATCCTCAGACCTGCTCCGGCTCCTTCCCCATCTTTGAGGCGCCTCAAAAATCCTCAGACCTGCTCCGGCTCCTTCCCCATCTTCTAGACGGAGCGACTGCACAACCTGTCAGCCTTCCTTCCAACTCTGGCCCCTTTCCAACCCTCACCCTAATTGCCTACATTTGAGGCTCCTAAAAAGTATTCCCCTTTCCAACCCTCACCCTAATTTCCCCCTTTTGCTGCCTCCCTCCCTTCCTCTCTCCCCATTCCGCCTGTCCCCTTTGCGATCTCCCTTCTTTTCGTAGGTTTACAGCAGCAGCAACCCAGCCAAATACCCCCAATCCAGTCACCGACGTGCGAATGAACCTCGTCCTGTAGACGTGCTCCAGCTCCTTCCCCATCTTCGAGGACGGCCAGGAGCGCCTGCTGCTTGACCCGTGTCTGACCCTGTTCCCTAATCTCAGCCTCCTCCCCTCTCTTACCCTCTCTTCCCCTCTCTTCCCCTCTCACCCCTCAGATCTACAGCAGCGGCAACCCAGCCAACTACCCCAACCTGGTGACAGATGTGCGAATGAATCTAGTCCTCCAGACATGCTCCGGCTCCTTCCCCATCTTTGAGGGTGGCCAGGAGCGCCTGCTGCTCGACCCCCTGCTCAACCCCGGCCCTGCCACACCCTTTGAGCTGAGAGACGCAGCAGAAAGGATGCCCTACACAGGGGATTTGTCAACATTCAGTGGAAACTTCATGGAATATTCAGGGGTGGACGCTGATCTGGATGCTGAGGTGGATGCTGAGGTGGATGGTGAGGTGGCAGCTGAGGAAGCTTCTCAAGACGCTGCTCGGCCTGTGCTGGAAGGTTCCTGGAATCAGGGCTCCTTCAGGGATGAAGGTCGCTCGCTTGCTGAAATGGAGCATCCTTATACTGAAGCGCCTTATACTGCAACTGAATCGCTCCATAAAGAGTCGCTTTCGCAACAGGATTCTGTGCTTGTACCCCTTACAAACATCCCACAGATGTCACGAAGCAGCAACCATCTTGGTACAGCTGATCCCATGGTGCAACCTCCTCTTCCTCCCCCCTCTCCTCCTCTCCCTCCCTCCTCTCCTCCTCTCCCTACGCCCTCTCCTGCTCTCGCTCCCCCCTCTCCTCCCCTCGCCCCCCCTCGCCTCCCCTCCCTCCCCTCTCTCCTCCTCCCCCTCCCCCCTCTCCTCCTCGCCCACCTCGCCCCCCTTCTTGGAACGTCTCAGACGATCCTGTGCTGAATTCCACGGGGTATTTACCCGTCGATATGCGCCTGGTGTGCGTTTACCCCGACTCTTTATCCCTGTTTCAACTGACGCCCCCTGCTGAGAGCAGGCTAAGAGAAGCACTTAGGAGAGCCGCCACAGGAGGGGGGGGAAGGAGAGGACAGACGGCTAGAGGTTTTGGAGGAGGGAGGAGACGAGCTCTGCCACAGTCACATTTCTTAAAGCCACACCAAACAAATTCCTATCCTTATCACCCAGCTAAGTACTCTCTCCCATTCATCCCCAAAGCCTCCCTCCGTCGCTCCCTCCAAGCCACTTTCCGAACCTCTGTCCAAACTTCCTCCCAAACCTCCTTACAAGCCTCTTCCCGAGCCTCTCTCTCCGGTCCGTGCCCCCCAGCATGCCCCCCAGACCCCTGTGCGCCGAGCCTCATAGTCCAGTGGTGGTTCACCCGCCCGCGCCCCATCCGACTGGAAGTAGCAGCGTGGGAGGAGGAGTATTCCGGTCTGCCCCCAGCACTTCTTGCTGAAGGCTTACTAAAAATGCTGGAGGGAAAGAAAGCGGCAGCTGATGGAGCCATTGATGCCGATACTGGAGGCTCGACGGGCCTGCTGCTGCCAGAGCTCTATCCGCTCTACTGGAAGCTCCCTGGGTTCGGCAAAGCCAGAGAGCTAGAAGCTGCCAAGGTAAGCCCGACCTGGCATCTTGCACCTCAGAGGTAAGGCTGGTGGTCCAGTGGTGGTTCACGCACCCCGCCCCATCCAACTTGAAGTAATAGCGTGGGAGGAGGAGTATTCTGGTCTGCCCCCGGCGCCCCTTGCCAATGGGCTGCTAGGGATGCTGGAGGGGAGGGAAACGGCTGCTGGTACTGGTGATGGTGGTAGTGGAAGTGATGGCGTTGGTAGTGCTGCTGTTACTGGAGGACGCATGGGGCTGCTGCTACCAGAGCTGAATCCAATCTGCCGGGGTTCGGCAAGGCGAGAGAGCTTGAAGCTGCCAAGGTGAGGCTGGCCTTGTGAGTTGGTTCGTACTTTTAGTGGTGGCAGTAGCAGTGGTGATGCCGGCTCTGCAGGAGCAATTGGGGTGCTGCTGCCAGAGCTGTATCCGCTCTACTGGAAGCTGCCTGGCTTTGGCCAGGCGAGAGAGCTTGAGGCCGCGACGGTAAGCTCGAACTGGCGTGTTGCACCTCAAAGGTAAGCCTACCTTGGAAGCTGCCAAGGTAGGCTTACTGGAAGCTCGACGGGATGACTTTTGAGTCGACTCAAAAGTTTACTGGAAGCTCGACGGGGCTGCTGCTACCAGAGCTGTATCCAATCTACTGGAAGCTGCCAGGGTTTGGAAAGGGAGGGAGTTAGAGGCTGCCAAGGTGAGGCTGGCCTGCCATTGGTATCTCTCGTGTTCTCGTGTCTGTGTGCCGGTTTGTGTGTTGGGGGGGTGCATGTGTGCGTGTGTACGTGCATGCGCGTGTGTCGGTGTTGTGTGCATGTGTGCTTGTGTGCGTGTGTGCGTGCGTGTGTGTGTGCTGGTGTTGTGTGCATGCGTGCGAGCGCTGTGCATGCCTCGGTGTCCTTCTGGCCCTTGTGAACCCGCCCACCCACGGCTTCATGCCGTTCCGATTCCGACATCTCATGTTGTTGTGGTGCTGGTGCTGGTGCTGGTGCTGGTGCTGGTGCTGGTGCTGGTGCTGGTGCTGGTGCTGGTGCTGGTGTTGGTGCTGGTGCTGGCACCAGCTGTGGCAGAAGGAAGATTGCTGAAAGCCTTCCTCTTTTCGCCACTATTTGCCCCCCTAAAATCAGTTCCGTTCAGCCTGCCTACAACTGCAAGATGACTCCACTGGCACCAGCAGCAGCAGTGCTAGTGGCGGTGGCAGCTGTGTGAGTGGCGGTGGCAGTGGTGGTGGCAGCAGCCATAACAGAGGGACTAATGCTGAAAGGCTCCCCTCTTTTCCCCGCTATCCACTGACCAGGTCCGTTCTGCCTGCTGCCTTCAACTTTTGAGGCGCCTCAAAGGTGGCAGCAGTCATAACAGAGGGACTAATGCTGAAAGGCTCCCCTCTCTTCCCCGCTATCCACTAACCAGGTCCGTTCTGCCTGCTGCCTTCAACTGCAAGATGACGCCTCTGGCACCAGCAGCAGTGGTGGGAGTGCCAGCAGCAGTCGCTGGTGGGTGCTGCACTGTGCTCCTCTTCCCTCTGATGCCACTGGTACTCTCGGTGTGTGCTCCTACAACACATCCACCAACGCCTCTCTCTCTCACGGAAGCACTGGTGGGGGCAGCAGCAGCAGCAGCGGATGGGGGTGGGGCAGCAGAAGGGGGGAAGCAGGAGAGGAACCACAAGGAGGGGGAGAAATTGGGGGTGTTGCAATGAGGGGGAGGGGATCGGGAGACAGTGGGGGAGTGAAGGCATTGGAAGCGTGTGGAGAGGCGTCAGGGCCTGCTGCGATCACAGTGTCGGAAGAAGTGCCGGGTAGGTGTTGTTTCGCACATATGTGCTTGCATGGAGTTACCCGGTATGTGGGGTTGCTTGGGATGTAGGAAGTCGTCTGGAAGAGGGGGTCTGTGAGAACACTCAAAGCGTGTGGAGGGGCGTCCGGGCCTGCTGCTATCACAGTGTCGGAAGAAGTGCCGGGTATGGAAGGCAGTGCGGGTATGGGAGGCAGTGCGGGTATGGGAGGCAGTGCGGGTATGGGAGGCAGTGCGGGTATGGGAGGCAGTGCGGGTATGGGAGGCAGTGCGGGTATGGGAGGCAGTGCGGGTATGGGAGGAATCACATAGACGAAAGATTTTGGAGGTACGTATGGCGTGGTAAGGGCGTCAGGGCCTGCTGCTATCACAGCGACCAAAGAAGTGCCTGGTAGGTGGGGCTAGCAGTGTGGTAAGGAAGGCAGGGGGCATACATGGCTGGATGGGATTGAAGGAATGGGGTAGTAAGGCTGCTTTTGAGACGCCTCAGAAGCGGGCTAGCGGTGTGGTTAAGGCAGGGGGCATACATAGCCGAATGGGATTGAAGGAATGGGGTGGTAAGGGCGTGTGGAGAGGCGCCAGGGCCTGCTGCAATCACAGTGTCGGAAGAAGTGCCGGGGTGGTGTTGTATCGCACATGTGTGCGTGCGGGATAAAAATAAAACTTCACAGAATCTACAACTCATAAAACTCCACTTTAAAAAAAGGCACGCATGTGTGCTTGCTTGCACGGAGGCGCCAGGTTTTGTGTTTTCTCTCCTCCCCGCCCATGCTTCCCACCCTTCTACCCCCATCACAGCTGGCGTGCTAGGGGAGGCACTGCAGACGTTCAGCACTGCAGGTCTCTACGTCACCTTCGTGCTGGCACTGGGGCGGCTCACTTGCTCCTTGTCCCAGACGCCCTTATCCCCTCTGTCTCCCCCTTCCACTCCCATCACAGCTGGCGTGCTAGGGGAGGCGCTGCAGACGTTCAGCACCACAGGTCTCTACGTCACCTTCGTGCTGGCACTGGGGCAGCTCACTTGCTCTTGTCCCAGACGCCCTTATCCCCTCTGTCTCCCCCTTCCACTCCCATCACAGCTGGCGTTCTAGGCGAGGCGCTGCAGACGTTCAGCATAACAGGCCTCTACGTCACCTTCGTGCTGGCACTCGGGCGGCTCATTCGCTCCCAGAGCTCTGATCTGAGGCTCAAAATACCCTACGAGAATCTTCCCTCCTGTGAAAGGTACGCGGTTCCATGCTCACAGCTACTCGCAGTTGGGTGCAGCCATGGGACCTTCTCTTTTGGGGCGGCTCATTCGCTCCCAGACCTCTGATCTGAGACTCAATATACCCTATGAGAATCTTCATTCCTGTGTAAGGTCTGTCCCATCTATTCACAACTAGAGTGGAAAATCATTTGGATCGGCCCACAACCTACTTAGCGTTCCGCCATCCGGAACTTTCTTGCTTTCTTTGGGAAACATTCTGTTGTTTTTCTTGTGTGTGTGTGTCTCCAACGTCTATCATTTGGTCCCATCTCCTTTTTGTTTGCCACCCGTTGCTCTTCTTGTATCCCTTTTCTGATGCCGTGGCCTGTTATTTCTGTGTGTGTCAAAATAATGAAAATCAATGAGTAGGTTGATGGCCATATGTGAAGATTTATACGCCGCCCGAGCAGAGGGGGAGCTGGAGTTGGAAGAGGGGCTTTATTGGACTCTGATAAAGATTTATCGTTCGCCACACGTGCTCCTTGAGTACACAAAAGGCGACAAAGCCGATTGAACATGATGACGCCAGCGTGATATTACCAAGACAAAAGATTGTTGTTTCATGGTCGTAAATGTCAAGAGACGCTGGGGTTGCCCTTGAGATCCTCGGAGAAGGGTCACTGGTGCAGTGCAGAGCCTGGGGGATTATGGGCGCACTTTGTTAGATTGTCGAGAGAATGATGGACTAAGGGAAAACGTCGAGGGTTACAACATAGGGCTGTACTAGGGCCTCAGATTGGTTTTGAGGTAGGTACCCTGATTGCTCAGGGTCCCCCCTCCCATGTTTCGCCTGATTTTTTCAGGGCTCCCCAAAAAAAAAACCGCTGAGTAATCAGGGTTACTTCAGAATATCACGCTGATGTTACGAAATTGGGAGATGGGCTGAATGGAACTCAAGGAGGGCAGGGACGGGGCAGAGTGGGGGGGGGGGGAAGGGGGGGGGGTGGGGTGGAGAAATGAGGGAGGAAGGATTCCCGCAGGAATCATGATGTTGCTGTTAGAAAAACGCAATGAACTAGATTGTCCCATACAGGGAGGTTTTGTGCTATGGTGCTGTACCCTCTTTGAGCGTGCACCTATCTAGCCTATAAAATATACAAATATATGTTGACACACCCCCTAGGCTAGACAAAAGGCGGTGCCTGGCAAGAGACACGCAGCTCAGGGTGGCACTACTAGTCCAACCTCTGAGGCAAGGGTCTGAAGACCAGTCAGCAAGAGTACAAACACGACAAGAGCAAACCATGGCGGCACTACTAGTCCGGCCACTGGAGCAAAAGCCACAAGGCCAGTCAGGAGAATATAATAAGAGTAGTACACGATCAAGGTCCTAGCAAGTGAGGAGCTACTGGATTTAGACCAAGCAGTACACAGTGCCACTGATGATCTTTAGACGCAAGCGCCTTAGTAAAGATATTAGATGTGTTGGCACCAGAGGCCAAGTGAACTACGCAGGTCTGGCGGCGCTGCTACAGCTCGCGCAGGAGGAAGTACCGCAGCTAGATGTGCTTCGCTCTGCCCTCCAGTCGAGGATCCTGACACTGGAGGATCATGGCCATGTTGTCAGCGTACAGGACCGGGGTAGAGCTAGGCTGCTCACCTAAGTCTGTGAGTAGGAACATCAGCCAGCGAAGCTCCTGTGCCGCCATGGCACCTGCGTAGATCTCAGCCTCGCAGCTAGACTGCGCAATAGACGACGAGCGAGCGGACCTCCACGAGACAGCGCCAGCACCAAGGCTAAAGCAGTAGCCCTGAGAGGACCTGAGCGTCTCTGCATCGTCGGCCCATGAAGCGTCTGTGTGCCCTGTCAGGACCACTAGCTTGCATCCTCCTAGCACTAGCCCCATGCCCGATGTACTTGCTAGATAACGCAAAACCCTCTTAGCTGCCGACCATTGCTGTGGTCGGTGTCTGCCTTTGGCCACAAAGCGAGCCATGATGCTAAGAGGGTATGCGAGATTTAAACGAGTGCAAGTCATCAGGTACATGAGGCAACCCACCAGCTCTGTGTACGGACCACTAGGCTCTACCGACTCCTCAGGGACTCGAGCCGAGAGCATGTGATCTACTGACAGAGGTGTGGGCTGCGCGGAGGAGAACTGAAGACCGAACCTCTGAACGATCCGGCGCACCAAGGGTGACTGTGTGAGAGTGATGGTGCGCTCTGCTCTGTCCCTGGAGATCTGCAGCCCAAAGTAGCAGCGCAGCTCTCCTAGGTCAGTGCAGGTGTGTCTCCTCAGCAGGTCAGCCTTCACCGAGGCCAGAGCATCTCTGTTTGCAATAGGAAGACCAGGTCGTCTACGTAGACAAGGATGTAGAACGAGGTCTGTCCTGTAAGAACTGTAAGTCAGCTAGCGTAGCACGCAGTTCTTCCTGTCGTCCGTTGTATACGTAGTTCTGCAGACGACGGGAAGAAGTGTAAGTCAGCTAGCGTAGCACGCAGCGTGTCGTGCCACTCACGGGGCGCCTACCGTAGGTCATAAACTGGGCGCTGGAGGAGCCACTCGGTCCCAGGGGCGAAGGTGCCGGTGAACCCCGGCGAACGGCGAAGGTAGACCTGCTCGTGCAGACTGCCCAGGAGGAACGCTGTGGAGAAGTCAAGAGAGTGCAGCTTGTAGTCACGCTGAGCTGCTACGTGTAGCAGCGCCCGAAGAGTGGTCATATTCGGGGTCGGGGCAAAGGTCTGAAAGAATTCAACTACCTCGCGCTGACTAAATCCTCTAGCAATGTAGCGCGCCTTGAATACCAGCGGCTTTCCTGGAGGGCGCTTCACCTTGAAGAGCCACCGGCCATCGACTACGTTTACCCAAGGTGGGGGAACTGCGTCGACGTAGGTGCCGGTCGATCTCCAATATGCCATCTCTGCGTCCATGGCAGCTATCCACTGAGAGGCCCAGGGTCCCGAGGTCGCCTCAGTGTACGTGCGAGGGGTTGGTTGTCAAAGGCGTCTAGGTCACCCTCAGGGACTAGCAGCATGGAGCAGAGAGGAGGAGCGGCCTCGGACATGAAAGTGAGCTCGTACTACCGGTCCTCCAGGACGTCACTGTCGAGGGCAGATGCAGCCTCGACGGACAGAGGACGAGCAGGGTCAGAGACCAAAGCGGTGGCGTAGTCAAGGCGGCGGGTAGAGGCAAAGTCAGCGACGACAGCGACAAGACTCGAGACAGGAACCGACTGGTCGGTAACGAGGGAGGCAAGGACTTGAGGAACAAGAGGACTAGCGGCACGAAGATAGTCAAACAGAGGAGGCGGAGTGACAACAAGCGATGACGGAGGAGGCGACGAGAGGAGGGGAGGACGAGACGCATAGGAGCGGAACAACATAGGGTGAGAGCGCTGAAAAGGAGAGAAAGGACGAGCACGAGAGGGACGGCGAGACCAGAACTGAGACGGAGGCGTCGAGTTAGGAGACACAGGAGGAGACACGGGAGGAGAACGAGGGGGGAAACGAGACGGAGACTTGTCCGGCAGCGGAAGCACAGGGTCGTAGACAGGCAGTGGAGGCGGCAGCGGGGGAGGCACAGGTGGGTGGTCAGGGGAGGGATAACCAAGGAGGCGAAGGGCGGACACCCGCGGCGACTATTGTTGCTGATGCTGGTCCACGCTGATACCAGAACCTCCAACTGCACCACGGCTACCTCCAGGACACTCCACGCCAACACCACCAGAGCGAGAACCCTCTCCAATACCGAGGCCACCTCCAGGACCGCCGGGACGAGCCACGACAGGAACCCAGAACTAGCACCCCCAGAACCAGCACCCCCAGAACGAGAACCCTCTCCAGCATCGGTGCCACCCCCAGGACCACCGGGACAAGCCCCGACAGGAACCCCAGGACTAGCACCCTCCTCAACGCCCGCACCCCTAGAGCTCGCGGACCCCTGCGGAACCTGCTGCTGCGGCGGCGGCGACAGCGACTGCTGCTGCGGCAGCGACGGCGGCGTCTGCTGCGACGGCGGAGGAGGAGACACTGGGGCAGAGACAGGCGGCGCGAACGGCGCCGCGGGGCCACCAGAGACAGCCGACTCCTTGACCGGGACAACCGACGGGAGGGGAGTGACGTGAGACACACCAGACAGGGCAGGACAGGGAGGGAGAGTAGCACGGGCTACCAAGGGTGTGGGAACCAGAAACAAGGGTGGGGAAACCGAGAGATCTTGGTGGGGAAAGCGGTGATAGAAGGAGACAGACTCGTCAAAAGTGACGTCACGGGAGTGAAAGAAGCGGTGAGACGGCGAGTGGTAAAAGTGCCAGTCCGCGCATCGAGGGGAAAACCAAGGAAGACACAGGGGACAGTGCGGGCGGTGAGCTTGTCCGTGCCAAAGGCACGAACGTGAGCAAGGCAGCTCCAGACGTGGAACGCAGACGCGTCACCAGGGATCTCGGTCCCGAGAAGGGTCGGCGAAACCTGCGGCCGCTGGGAGTGCGGCCACATGTTAAGCTGATGAGCGGCGTAGCGAACAGCGAACGGCCACAAAAAGTGGGGTGCATCGGCACGGATCATGGAGGTACGAGCCACCTCCATGGCCAAACCGATGCTTCGCTCAGCGACCCCATTCTGCTGCGGGGAGTCCGGTAGGGTGTACAATTGGGTGATGCCCTCCGCAGGACAGAACTGGCCAAGCCGACCGGAGGCGAACTCGCCGCCTCGGTCGAAGTGGAGACACAGCGTAGGGAGGCCACGGTGGACTTGCACAGCTACAACCCACGGGATAAGAACGCCAGGCACATCGGCCTTCCACTCCAGAGGAAACACCGTGGTGTAGCTGTGTAGTCCTCGACAAGCACTAGAAAGTAGCGCTCGCGTCGCGGCCCAGGGACGGGGGCTGGGCCTTAGACGTCCAAGTGCAGGGTATGGAGTGGCGCAGTGGTAGGGGGAAGCGAGGAGGAGTGAGGAGCATGGCACAGCCGGCCCTCGATACAAGGTGTGCACGGCGGCGCAGGCGAGAGAGGAAGTGCAGGGAGCGACACAGGGAGACCAAAGACAACACCGTGATGGGAGATGTGACGCAGACGCGGGAGTGAGCGACGGGTGAGTGAGCGACTAACACGAGCAAGCCGCAGCGACCTTGGTCGACACTGGCACCTAGGGGGACGCCCTCACCGGGGGGGACGCAGTGTCAAGCGTAAACAGGCTAGACACAGGGTCCCGGGGGAACGTGGTTAGAGGAGCACTAGTGGCGGCCTCGGTACAGACCGCGTACTGCTCGTGTCCAGGGAACTTCGTGGTGACGCCGAGGTCCAGAAGACAGCCGACATGAATTAAGTTCCTGGAGAACGAAGGGATGTGCAGGCCTGTAAGAGAACCCAAGGGGACCGCCGGACAAGGAAGGGTGGTGGAGCTACGGGCAACTACCGGACCTGAGGAGGGCTCAGCAAGCGCGACAGCGGCAGAGGCGGCAAGAGGCGTGAGTGCAGTGTGGTCGCGGAAGAAGCAGGCAGACGATCCTGAGTCAAGAGTGAAGTAGAGCGAAGCAGTAGCGTCTGCCGACGGAGGGGCTAGAGTGGAGCCTAGGCTAAACAAGGCAAGGGGTCCTACGCCTGACACAGCAGGGGAACCTAGACTACACACAGGGGACACACCTATGCTAGGCAACACCAGGTAATAGGGTCCAGTCACACTAGAGTCATCAGCATACATGGCATAAAGGCAGGCACATGACGGCGCACCATGTTGTACCAGTCTGGGGGGTCCGACGTGGGGCCGAAGCGGAGACAGAAGAGGTTGTCGAGGCGGCGGTAGCAGCGCGCGGCGGTGTGACCGGGGCGGTCATAGACGGTGCTGTGATGGGGGCCAGGCTGAAGCTGGTACTGGCAGGTGACCACACTTGAGCCGCCACCCGACACCGAGCTGCGCCCCCCTCCACCACCAGCACCGCCAGTTC